CATGTATTTTAAGGGCATGTATGGTGCATCGTCGTTTACTTGAGACATCTAAAGGTCCACATGAATTTTTAGCTCAAATGGTGTTATCTAGAAAAATTTGACAAATATTGGTCCGAGTACAACATATATCTAGCTTGTGCGACAATTCTTGATCCAAGGTTTAAGTTAAAGTTTGTGGAATATTGTTTTGACAAGATATATGGTTCAGATGAGGCTATGTGTAAAGTTGAAAAAGTGTTGAACACTTTAAGATCTTTGTATAATGAGTAGGGCTGTACGGAGATTGGTCTGGACCGTAACCAAACCAGACCAAACCGCATTTTGGTTTGGTTTACGGTTTGGAAAAATACGGTTTGGTTTCGATTTTTTGGGAAATACGGTTTGCGGTTTGGTTTGGTTTTTAAAAAATTTAAAAACCAAACCAAACCGTAAACCAGTAAACCGCATTTTAATATTTATATAATATTTATAAAAATTAAAATAGTTATTATATATTTTAAAAAAGAAAAAAAAATAATAAAAACCATGAAAAATCATTAGAAGACTGTCAGTAATTCAGTATAATACTATACTCCAAGATCAGTTTAGCTCCGGCAATCATTGATATCGCATAATGTAGTCCCTGATGTTGTCAAGTTGCTGCCAATTATTAAAAACTATAAGGTAGTATGAATTTTTTTTTTGGGATAAATGTATTATGTTTTTTCCACTGTAATTTGTTATGTATTATTTTTATTATGTGTTATTGTGTTAGCACTTGATTAGTTGGTTGTTATTTTATTAAAACTTTGTAGTGTAATTTAATCCGTTTGGGCTAATTATTTGAACTTTATTATAAATTTGATAAAATTTGACAATTTTTAGGAAAAAATGTCATCTCATCATAAACCGCAAACCAAACCGCACCAAACCGCATTATTACGGTTTGGTTTGGTTTGGTTTCAATATTAATATGGTTTTGTTTGGTTCGGAAAATTGACCAAACCGTATTTTGCGGTTTGGTTTGGTTTATACTCAAACCGCACCAAACCAGACCATGTTCACCCCTAATAATGAGTATAAGTCAACATTTTCAACTTTCCCAATTGTTGCTCCCTCTACTACAAGTACGGATTGAAGAGGAAAACTTCTTTGATGATTATCAAAACTATAGTTCAAGAATTACAAGGACTCAAACAAAAAAGTCCCAACTTGAGTCATATTTGGAGGAATCAGAACTTGATTTGAACATGGAGCTAGATATTCTAGAGTATTGGCAACAAAATGTCGTGAAATTTCCGGAGCTTGCAATATTGGCACGAGATCTTCTAACAATTCCTGTTAGTGCGGTGGCTTCCGAGTCGGCTTTTAGTGTAGGGGGGTAAACTATATCTCCTAATCGTAGCTCATTGAAACCCTCAACGGTTCAAGCCCTAGTTTGTGTTCAAGATTGGCGCCGTGATGAATATAACATCCCTTCAAATTTGGATCGTGATTCTAGCTCGGATGACGATGAGGCCATTGATGATGATGAGGTTGATGACAGTTTCCTATACTAGGTAGTTGTTTTATTTTATTGCTTTTGGTTATCTTGTTCTATTTCATATCAATAGAGGATACACCGGGTATAGTATATATTTTAGAATACAATGATTAATGAGCAGTGATATCATGTGAGAATACACTATACTTTTTTTTATTGGATGGAATGTGTGGCTACTGCTCTAATAGTTAGTGGAAAGTGGACAGATTCTGTACTCTAATAGTTAGTGCACTGGTAAGAGTACAAAATTGGACTTGTGGTAGCTTAGTACATTGTTAATTTCAGAATTTAGACATAGCAATTAACTGAATACTTGTTTCCATGTCTGTCCTTTTGTGCTGCAGTTTTACAAATGGTTCACAGATCTTGAAGCTGCCATGAAGTCAGAGGTCAGTCATTGTCTAATGTTGATACACTGGTTATATGTGCTCATGATACATAATGAGGCAGACATGAATTTTCCCTTCATTTGGCTGAATTATGTGAATATTCAATAACTTACAGCATTAATTCAGGGATGATGCAATTGGTCTTAACTGTTGATTTACACCTGAAACTATCACTCACTGTTTTAAAAATGTGACAACAGTAGAATTTTTTCAGTGTAGGTTTTTCCTGGTTGCATTTGAGTATTGGTGGCTACAAGCTACAGGCTGTCAGGGAGTAGACATGCAAAAGATTAAGAAGCTCAAAAGATCTCTTCAAGGTCTCTGTTGATGCTGCTATATTGCGATAATGAAGAATTTGAGGCAAATTGTACTGCAAGACTTAAAAGTTTCAGACAGATAAGTTGTCTAGTGTGGATAAATTGTGTAATGAAAATCATAAGTAAATAAATAGGTTGTCTGAAAGTTATCTTGTTCATATCTACTGCTTGAGAGCAACTTGTTGGCTAAGGCCCTTTATAATTATCTTATATTGTGTTTATTTCATGTTTGTTGTACTTTGTTTATACATTTTAATTGGGCCGGTCCGGGCCAGGCTTAATGGCCCAAGGACAACTTCGGCCCATTTTGGATTAGGATTGGCCCGGCCCATTCCATATAAAGCCCGGCCTGGCCCGTTGAACAGGTCTACCCCTTGGCTTAGTAGCCAAGCAACAACGTAGTTTACCATCTAGAATGTATTGAAGAGCATTCGTCTTTTCCAATTGCATGATCATGGAGGTAACCTCTCCTTCTACAATTTGTTATATACACCTGGGTGTACCATACACCCAACTATCCGAAAGTTAGTTTTTGTTCTTCATTTGATGATAAAATGAAAAACAATCACCAAAATGAGACCATATACTCATGGGTGTACGGTACACCCGGGTGTATATAACAACCTCTCATCTCCTTAAACTTGTACAATGGTAGACTTGACTCTATCCTTTCATTAATGGAATGCATTTGTATCTTTGGTCATATGTTTAAGCAATCTAACTTATTTTACTTCTTTTGAGAAAGGTTCCTTATTTGTTTGTTTTACGTTAGCAAGGTTTTTAGCGCTTTTTTTTTTTTAATAAAATCTGAATAGTCATCTTAGCTTAGATGTTTTTAATAATAAAATATGAAATTATTTATGTAAAATGTCACAACTACCTTTGACCATAACCGTTATATGCTTAAGTTAGCTCCTAAATTATAGGCTTGTAGCTCCTAATTTGTAGCTTTATCATTAAGAGTAATCTACCTAGTTGTACATTCTCTAGGCTAGAACTATGTAACTAACTCATGAATATAAAAACACTTATGCATCATGAAAAGGCATTATATCATCTTTCATTCACAAATACTATACTGACTATCACGAAGGGGAGATTTGATTAAAATTCTCAACAAAAAAATTGTTAAGTTTATTTTCATCATCAACTCTTTAAGTAAGTACATACACTTTTCTATAATTGTATAAAATTGTTCAAAATAAAAATTTGAAAGTTATTCTATTTATAATTAGTAGTTTCTTTGTAATTATCACCTTCACCCATGTATATAGGATTATTGTTAAAGTTTACAATAATTATATAACTAGGTATTAAATTATCACATACACCAATTTATCAAAATGTATCGTGGTTGTCAAGTTTTTTTCATTTGCAATTCAACGACATGTATTGATATATGAATTCGTGATGACAAAATGGTGTAAATTTCCCAATTTTTTTTAAAAAAAATTACTTGTCAAATTACTCGTATGTCTTTGTGATTCAAGAAAAATAGATTTGATGGTATGACCTGAATAATTGTAGTAGTCATGTTTCGATATAAAATTTTAATTTATTTATAATATATCTTTATTAATACTACTAGTATATATTGATAGAGATTAGTGAGCAAAATTAGAATTCAAATATTTAAGCACATTTTAATAATTTTCAATATATTTCAAATTAATCTTTGTTAATTACTTAATAGAGATTAACAAACAAAACTAGTATTCTAACATTTAAGCAATGAGTACAATACCATGCTATTTAGGGATGTGTAATTGTGTATTACTGTGGTCTATAAAAGCTATATATACTGACTTGTAAGCTAGCATAGGGGGCTAATAGCTCATTTTTCATTAAAGTTTAAACATAATAATCTGCAAAGTTTTTTAGCATAGATGGAATGCATTATGTAAACCGATATTAGGACTAGTATAGTTTATATTCCAGAGTAATTACCAAAGACGTTTGTTTAGCCGAACTAATACAATAAATTTTTATGTTAAAGTAATCTTATTGTCTGCCATTTTGTGCTAAAGAGTGAAGAGTTTAAGTCCTCATTGGTTAGCCAATAATCAATGTCATAAACTGACAAATTAAGGAGTAAATTGCTGAGTTTCTCAAAAAGGCAAAAGATGTGCTAGCACTCTCTAGCAGTAGTATCAATTTAGCTACTCCATAATTAAATTTGACCAAAATTGAATTTGAATACGAGTATATGCACTTGAATAAATATTCCTATTGTTTTAGTCTCCCTATCTGTTGATAATACTTGTGTCTGAAATTATATGCAATATGTGCGTACATTTAGCCAAAGACAATGCCCCCTAAGGAAACGGCTAAATGGACCCCTAAAGTGACGGAGAGATTTTGGATGTGTTCCCTGAAAGCAGAAGCATTGGTATTGCTAAGTTTGATTGGGATATTGTCACAACCACTTTGGCCGACCGAGGCATAAGCGTCGACCAACCCCCCAGGCATGCAAGGCCTTCGGGATACCACTTGCCCAGAAACGCATTCAGATGCTCAGTTCAAGGAGAACGAGCCAAGTGAGGCCAAAGTGACTCATACTCATTTCTTTGAGAGGTTATATGGAACTAAACTAATTGGCATCTACAACTACTGAATACTTTGCCAACGGAAGAGAAGCAATTGCTTGGAAGCCTCACCATTGAAATCCAACGTTGAACCATGAATAACGCTATTTGACATTTTTTTATTAAATCAATTTTTTTTATAGCCTAGGAGAATGAGAGAGGATATCCCAAGTATCATGGGTCTGACCTTTTTACGCTCCTGGCGAATATTTTTTCTTTTGCTTTGCTTCAAATCCATCAAAAATCCATCAAAACTGTTGCCAATGAAAAACAATTGAACCCGCATCAGAGCTAAGAATTCAATGCAAGGGAAATTATTTTTACAAGAATTGTAGACACAATTAGTTAGGTCAAGGGAAATCTAATATTTAGAAGTTTCACTTCTATGATAACCTTAATAATCTTTAAGGCCAATGCATATAGTGGGTTTACTTTGATTATAGGTCCACCAATTGCAATATTTACCACTTAAGCCAATCCTATGCTCCACCAATTGTCAGAATATCACAACTACATCCTTTGTTCTATTTTCTTAGATGTATAATTGAGGGATGCATATAGTAGTAATTGTATAAGTATGCTTCACTTACTTCTTGTAATTCCGATTTTTCCAGTGGTATTGCATGCCTATTCTCTGAAGGAAGCCCTTCTCTTTCATCCTCTGCCACTGACTTTCATTCGAAAAAGTAACATGCATTGATGAGACCTGGAACTGGAAAAAGAAATATAGAATTAATGACACTCTGCATAAAAATCAACACTTAGGGTACTCATTAGTGGCCTCCTGAGTAAAATTGCTTGTACTCATCAAATCAAAATTCATCGATTTTTTTCAGGTCTAGTTTAGTGATTCCATTTTTCCCCTTTCAATTTTTCAAACCCCCACCCCAAGATTCAAGTTCCTCCTTGGAAAAAAACAAGAAAACAAAAGGATAACCAAATTATAAAAAATTTATTAAAAAAAAAGTGCCACTTCCAAACTTAGAACTCCTAAACACCAAAACCATCCTAGCCAACAATCACAGTCACATCTCACTCACCACCACCAGTCCACCACAACCAACACCACCATTTCAGCCACTATCAACACGTCCACAACAGTGAACTTGCTCTGAACCACCAACTGCCCCACTGAGTAGGTGACAACTATGATTCCTCTGTAAACACCGTCATCCCTAGATCTCATCTTCCAGCACAGCCGACACCATCCCCTCCACTCAACCACAATGACAATTTGATGTCCTGCCATAAAACATCTCTACCTCATACTCACCACAATATCACTGCTCCTTTGACTTCTGAAAAAACCACAATAGCCAACAAAATCCAGTGACATATAAGAAGCAAAGAGGTGTATGTCTTGTCAAATCCCTTTCCTTGAAGTAAACCAAGAGTAATCTTCATTACTTTCCAAATAATGAAACTCAATAAACAGAATTAAAGGTATAGATTTCCTGTATTTATGATTAAAATAAGAACTCAATCAGTGAGCCACTTTTCCACAGTTTCAAAACCAACCTCAAAAGACCATAACGTCAAGCCTTTTGAGTTTCTTCAACAACTCCTTCCAGTACAAGAAAGAAAGATATCTGGTGTTCTATTTTCAGAACCTTTTCTTTTCTGTGTTTCCTTACTAGCAGGTAATTTTTTATACAAGTCATTGAGGAACAGCCCCTTTTCCCTAGGCTTGGCGGGTTATCAGAAATCAGTAAGGCTCGGCACATAGGAAGAACACTGGCCGCTGGCAGGATCCCTACTTAGTGTTGTCATGGTCTACTGACACAACAAAGAGGTTTTCCTTTGGCAAGTCGCTAAAAGTAGTCTTTTAAGACAGATAGTTCTCAGATAACAGTTAATATGAATTGAAGAGTAAAATATCATAGTAACAACTAATAATGCGCTATTACTTGTATCAATTTGCAAAATTTTCAAAAAGTAGTCATCTCAAAACACTAGATTTTCAGTTTAGCGAATGTCAGAAAAAATGGTATCTATATGAGACCATGTTTTTCAGTTTGATTCCCCCACTTAAGCATACAATTAAGTTAACTTCAAACTTGGTACTCCGTACCTAATATGGCACACAAATTTTTCTTCCTTAATGGTTTTCTACAAGGAAAGTGCGGTAAGCTTGGTGGGATAGACATAGTATAGATAAGTAAGCACAGGAAATTTTATGCTTCCTAACAAGTCAATATTCAATCATATACTACTCCCGTTATATGTTATGTGCAACTTTAGAATATTTTATATTTCACAAATAATACTCCAAAGTTGCACATAACATTTAACAAAGCTAGTATATATATATATATATATATATATATATATATATATATATATATATATATATATATGCATATAGACATGTACCTTCGTCGTTAGATCTTTTAATGCTGAGACAACAATATCAAAAATCTCATCTTTGCAGGCTGTATTACGAAGTAAGATTCTTGGACCAGTAACTGGAGTGAATGGAACACAACTTTGTAACTTGGGATAATACCTCGAACCATAACTATAGTAAGCATTGGCCCATGAATGATCAAAAACATATTCACCATAGGAATGACTGCACTCCCATTTAAAGAAAAACAAATCAAAGTGACTACGTCAGCCAAAGAATCAATTGAGAAATTCTCCTTTTTCAACAGCTTTGCATGTTACTACCTTTTAAGGTATAGTGGAACAACACCAATGACATTGTCAACTTCATCCATAGCAATAATGTGCTTTGGTGCCCATCCTGTTTCCTGAATAATTTTTAGTCATAAGAATAAGTTCAATGAGATACTTATGCAAATCTAGATCAGCTATCGATAAGTATTTAGAAGACAACACATGCAAAAGATGAAAAGAGGGTGGAAAATAAGTATTAACTTGTAAAATGAAAGCATTCAAGTCTATCTTATGATAAAAAGCCCATCCATTGAATGACACTTAAGAATAATGCAACGAGCGTGGGATATTAAACAGATAATTACTCAAGCGGAAGGTTGATTTAGGATAGATTAGCTCAAAAGCTTGCGGTACTACCATCAGTGGGAGACATTGAGTCTGCACGAAAAATCTGGGAGACTCCACAGAGAATGTATAAGTCAGTGACAATGGTGCGCTCAACTGTCAATTAATTGGAAATATCCGTCTCCGAATAGAAGTGAATTTGAAGCAAAAATCACTGGTTCGAAGAGCTGAGTTGCAAGACTAAGGAAATGGAAACTTTTTAATATCACCAGAGTTGTGAAATGTTTAATTGCTTGAGGCCATAACTCTCAAAAGTTCATACAATTTCTGGATACCTTCTTACTTGAAACTACTACTATTTTTACTACTACAATTGCTCATAAGTGGACAAAAGCTTTAATTGCTATTTTACTACTACTTGTCTCTAGCTAAGTTGCCATAGTAAAATTAGGCCAACAGCCCTGCTGAGCAGGGCTACTGAGGAGTCGTTGCTTGTGTTAAGGGTGGGAGAGTGCCCTGCCGTGTCTGCTGCTTTTGTCTTCTTCGGTACACGACAGTGATTGGAGGTGGCTGGTGCATTGCAATACCGCCCTCCAAAAGTGCCACCTTGTCCTTAAGGTTGAAATCCGGGAACTTGGACTTGATTGCTTCGGCATCTTCCCATGTGGACTCGAATTCCGGTACTCCAAGCCATTTGATCAATACTTCTAATCCTTCGCTCCGTCCCAACTTAGGCCTACTATCCAACACTTGCTCGGGTTCCACCACTAATTCCAACTCGGGGGTGATCTGAGGGGGAATTGTGGGCGAACTAGGTACATTACCCACAGCTTGTTTAAGCTGCGATACATGAAAAACAGGGTGGAGGTGGCAAGATTCCGGAAGCAACAGCTTGTAGCCCACCTTGCCCACGCGCTGAGTGATCTCGAATGGCCCATAGAAGCGGGCAGCAAGCTTCTATGGGTTGCAGCTTCAGAAAAACATGATCCCCCACCTTAAATTCTACCTCCCTTCTCTTCGAATCAGCATTACCCTTCATCACTTGTTGAGCATGCACAAGGTTCATCTTCAATTCTTCTAGCATCATGTCCCTTTCTTGCAAGAACTCCTCCACCTTGTCAACCGTGGTCTGACCCATTCCGACCCTCATCAACTTCGGTGGGTCTCTACCATATAACACTTTGAACGGAGTCATTTGGGTGGATGAGTGAGTGGAGGTGTTGTACGAGTACTCCGCCCAAGGTAACCACTGAGCCCAAGTCTTGGGTTGCTTTCCGGCAAAACAACGAAGATAGGTCTCTAGTCTCTCGTCCACGACCTCCGACTGCCCATCTGTTTGTGGGTGGTAGGAAGTACTTCTCTTGAGGTCTGTCCCTTGAAGCCTAAACAACTCCTTCCAAAAATTGCTCGCAAAAATTCTCTCTTTACAATGCTACCCAGAATCCCATGCAAACGCACCACCTCTTTCACAAAAATTTCAGCCACAGTATAAGCGGTAAAAGGGTGTTTAAGCCCTATGAAATGGGCGTACTTCGAAAGTCGATCCACTACCACTAACACCGTATCCACCCCCCTTGAACGCGGAAGTCCTTCAATAAAATCCATCGTTATATCTTCCCATACTTTCTCTGGGATGGGTAGTGGCTGCAATAACCCTGCCGGAGATTGCTGAGAAAGTTTGTTGCTTGTTGCGCTGGCAGACTACACACCCCCTAATGTGCTCTGGCACGTCTCGCCGCATTCCGGCCCAGCTCCACTCCCTAGCCAACCGTAAGTATGTTTTGGTTTCCCCTTCATGGCCCCCTTCCGATGAATCGTGATAAGCCCAAAACAGACTGACCTTCAAGTTCGAATTTCGCGGAATTACCCTTCAACTCTTGTACAGCAGCCTGCCTGTTCCACCGAGTATCCCGGGGTACCTTCTCCTCTCTCCACCGCCGCCCTCAATTTCTCAATCTCCCTATCTCCCTGAATTTCCTTCTCTAAAACTTCCCAATCCACTGATTGTGATGTGATCAAGGCCCCACATTCTGGGTTCTCTTCACCTCAGCCCCTCCTAGACAAGGCGTAGGCCACCCGATTCGAAACATCGGGCTTGTATTGAAGCTCAAAATCGAACCCGATCAACTTTCGCACCCATTATTTATATTCCATCCCCACCTCTTGTTGTTGGGTGATGTATTTTAAACTTTGTTGATCGCTCCGTACAATGAATCGTTTCCGTAATAGATAGTGTTTCCACTTTTGCACCGCCAAGCACACCGCCATCAATTCTTTCTCATAAATTGACTTACTCCGGCCACCGGGCCTAACAACTTGCTGAAAAACGCCATTGGACGGCCCTCTTGCATTAGCACCGCCTCTAACCCGAATCCAGAGTTATCGGATTCCACCACGAACACCTTCTGAAAGTCAAGCATCACGAGCACTGGAGCAACAGTCATGGCGGCTTTTAGCTTGTTGAAAACTAAAATAATCTTTTTTGAGTTGGTCAATTAATGGCTGGGCTAATTGGGCTAGATAAATTTTCTGTAATACCCCGTTAGGCCCAAAAAGCCTCTTAAGTCCCTTAGAGACATGAGTGTGGGCCAGCTCTTAATGGACTCAATTTTATCTTGATCAACCGCCACTCCTTCTTTGGAGATAACATGCCCTAAGTAAGCAACAATTTCCCTCCCAAACTCACATTTTTTTTTTATTGGCAAATAAAGAGTGGGCCTTGAGCATGGCTAAAACCTCCTTCAAGTGACCAACATGTTCCTCCTTGCTAGTGCTATACACTAGAATATCGTCAAAAAAGACGAGTACAAATTTGCGTAAAAAGGGACGGAACACCTCGTTCATCAACGATTGAAAAGTAGTCGGGGCATTAGTTAACCAGAAAGGCATGACTAGAAACTCATAGTGACCCTCGTGGGTACGAAAAGCCGTTTTATGGGTGTCTTCAGACGTCATTTTAGAGATGTCTTATTGAGCTGTTAAATCGTATCACTAGAAATTCAGTGGTACAAAAGGATTTTTTCCCAAATTGAGCTTTATTGGTAAATTATTTACCAAATTGGTCTCGTGGGAAAAGTATTTCCCAAACTAAGCTTCTGGGGTGAAACGATGTCTCGGACAGCGTTTTACACCCAGTTTTTTAAAAAAAAAAAATTCAAGAAGTAAAACGCTGTCTCAGACAGCGTTTTACCTTGTTGACCTGTTGGTATGTATTTTGGCAAAATATACTAGTATATTTTGCCAAATTATAGTGGAATATGTATATGGGCTTTAAAACGCTGCCTGAGGCAGCGTTTTATGTTGAAGCATAAAACGCAGCCTGAGGCAGCGTTTTATTTGAAGCATAAAACACAGCCTGAGGCACCGTTTTATGTTAAAGCATAAAACGCTGCCTCAGGCAGCGTTTTTCCGCTAGACTGCATTACCAGCAGCATCTGCTACACTGCATCACCAACAGTTTCTGCAATCTGCTGCTGCCCCTACACATAACCCTCACCCAGCAGCATCAACTCAGCCCCACCATGAACCACCACCCCCACCACCATCCACCACCATCAACCACCTCCCCCACCACCACCGGCCGCCACTCTCGACCACCCCTATGCAATGCAAAACACCCTAAACAACGCAAGGACATTCCCACCACCCCCATCATTAACCACCACCCCCACCACCATCAACCACCTCCCCCACCACCACCGCCCGCCACTCTCAACCACCCATAAACTACCATAAAACACCCTAAAAACCGCAAGAGCATTCCCACCACCAGCCCCAACCTTTCCACCACCATCGACCACCACCGACAACCATCAAACACTGGAAACAACCCCAACAGCATGATAACCATCGTGAAACAGCACTTTAAGTGCAGGAGACCAAATATATGCTGCTTGATACATATAACGGATATAAAAGATATAGTTTCACTAACAAAAGTCAAATTCGGACAAATAAGGGAAATAAACTTCAAATTGTACAGAGAGTCATTTAGAAAACATTTCTTGTATTAATAATGTAAGCGTTATATACAACATTGTTAAATATCTGAGTACCACAAAAGGATCAACTAACTAATACTATCCGGACTCATGTATTGGAGTTAACTGATCTCCATCCTGTGTGTCCTCCGTCCGTCTACGAACACGCCTCGGACGCCTCGTGTAATGCTGAATGGTGGTGAATGGGTCTCGGGACGGTGGAGGAGTCATCTGGCGAGACGATGAGTCATCCTGGCTGCGGCCGGGAGCGGTGTTATGGATGAAGTAATCCTCTGCCTGTGTAGAGCCCGAAGTATGACCTCCACCACTACTCTGTTCAAAGTCGAACTGTGAATGGAAGGAGTTGGAGTCATGATCGTCCTTGGGGTGGATGAGATGGCCATGGCCATATCTCTGCAAGCTATGTATGCCCATATCTCGCACCCGCTCAACCTGGGCTCTGGTGGGTACGGCTGCTAAGGCATCTGAAAGTGCATCAACCATCGCACCCATATCCCCCGCCTGCAGTAATCATCCATGAATTAGTAATATGATATATAATTTCAAATAATTTTGGAAAACAAGAAACTGAAAAAACTCACAAGTCCGCTGATAACATCATAAGCTGGATGGTAGTGCGTGGACGGTGGGGTGTAGGTAGGGTTGATGAAAAGGCGTGTAATCTGCCTGTACCATACCATGTAAGGATCACGCGGATCCATAACACCCTGAAACAGGTGACCGTCAAAGATGGACTCCAACCGCTGGTCCCAAAGCTCAATGAATTGATGATGCTACATTGCCCAGTTTGTCACCAACTTTCCACGACGGTCAATGCCGTGGAGGCGAATACTAGTGTCACAGGGCATGGGGATAGGCTGGTGAAGTCCAAACTGTCGCAACACTCGGTCCAGTAGGTGGCTCTCCACGACCTCGAAACAGATCATGGGGGTCCTGGCAAGCCACTCAGCACGATGCTCGAGCAAGTGTTCCGGCATGGCCTCTACCAACACAGCAGAATAGGGATCCCATGTCATCTGCAACAAGGATATATCGTGAAAAGGTTAGGGCAATGCCAATAAACAGTATAAAGAGTAAACAAACGATTACAAATTTAGTGCAAGATTCCACCTGTTCATCCGAGAGTCGATCGAGGGCGTCACGGTAGTAGAGAAGACCTCTCGCTGTATGCGCATGTGTTAGTCTGGGAACCACCCACCTGTGGCAACAAATTATTTAAGAAGTTGTACTAGCTAATTATAACAAAATTTGAGTACACAAGTATAATGTTACCAACCTACAACCGTATGCCTGATCGGGTTCAGGGAGCGGGGGAGCATCGTATGCTGCGTACTGATCGTCCTGGTCCAGCTACCCTGGACGGTGTACAACAGGCCTACCTGGTCTCCCTACATGGATGTGCTCCCAAGCCCATAGCTGTTTTAAAAATCAAATAAAAGGTAAAGCATAAATAACGTCAAGTCATTATCAAACTAGGCTTAAGGATAATGATGAGGTTTACCTGTAGCACAACCAAAGGACCTCCAATCAGCTGTGCTCCACGCTGTGATGCTCTACACAGATGGCGATACAAGACCGCCAAACAAGCACTACCCCAACTGTATCCACGGATCTCATCCCAGTCGTGGTCTAACAGCTGCAGGTAAATAATCTGAAGATGGCTTCTGCTCTTGTTTCCAAAGAGCACGCCCGAGATGAGCAGGAACAAGTAAGCTCGGGCGTATCTCTGCACTGTGGCGTCGTCAGCGTCCTGAGGTAAATGTCCAAAAGTGTCGCGTAGCCAACCGGTCCTCAGCGCGCTGCCCCTGATCTCGTTTGGCTCTGGCTGAACCCCTAAAATCCGACCTACTAAACCTGCGGGGTCAAGTACCACACCCCCCTGTCACCGCATTCCCATGGATGGGAAGGCGTGTGAGTATCGCGACGTCCCGCAGCGTGACTGTCGCCTCCCCCACAGGAAGATGGAAGGAGTGTGTCTCCTGCCTCCATCTCTCAACTAATGCTGTGATAAGCCCTCGATCTATTTCTCTGTAGCCCACGCGATGAATACCACCAAAGCCAACCCAGTCGACGTACTGAAGAACGCGTGGATTGACTGCCCAGCCGGACCTCAAGTGCCTGCACCCCAACATTTCCG